CGAATGGCTGGTCAGGGCCAATCTTAATCCCCAGCTAAGAGGTTCCATTACACATGGCATGATTAAAGAAAAAGCCGAAACCGCCAAACAGATTATAGGCTGTGAATCGTTTATGGCCGACAATCGTTGGTTGAATCGTTTTCGTGAGACTCATCTTACGGGCTTTGCCCAGAAGTTGGCTTCTAACCAACTAAAACCCATAGGGCCCTCCCTGTGGATACCTGATATAGTGCAGGACTTGGCCCATCTATTTCCACCCACTAGTGCGGAGCGTATTGATAATTTTGAAAATGTGCCCGAACAATACATTAGTTATATGAAACAGTATGGTGAATACGAGGAAGAAGAAGATGCCAGTGAACAGGAGCCGGCACAAACCTATCAACAGGAGCAGCAAGACAGTGGCTATGGACAAGATTCCAAAATGGCAGCTCAATCTTATTATCAGCAACAGCAGGTGGCACAATCGTATTACCAGCAACAACAACAGCAGCATCATCATCAGCAACAAAACGGTTACCACCACTACAACAGTCATCCCCATCCTGGCATGCATCCAGCAGCGGGTTATAACAGCTATCATGATTATTACAATGAAAGGCCACAACATGCCCCACACAATCCCTATCATCACCAGCAGCTTCCACAACATCCTCAACATCCTGCACAACATAATGGTGGTTATGGAACACATCCTGTACAACAACCGCCACAGCCACCACAACATCATCTTGAGCATACACACGCTGCTATGCCTGCCACAGCGCAGCCTCCACAGCCAGCACAACAGATCTCACCCAATCCCCGACCTCCATCCCATTCACCGCCTCAGCAGAATGGTTTAGCGACGGCCGAGAGAAACAGTCCTTTTAGTCCCTCTAGTGCTGGTGGTGTTAAAAGACCACGTTCCTCTGAACCAGATAATGAAGCTCCCTCCGCCAAAAGTTCACGCAGCTCACCAGTCAATGTCAATAATTCCGGCGCCAGTTCACCCTCAAGGCCGCCTTCTAAAAGTCCTCCCGCGGTTACAGAAATCCCCAGAGAAACCAAAAGTCAAAATAACAACAACATCGTGGATAATAGTTTTAAAATTAAACTGCCACTTGCCAACGGCGGAGGTGGTGGCGGCAGCAGTAGTGGTGCCAATTCCCAGCGTTCTTCTACACCCAATTCTCAAGCCAACAACTTAAATTCCCGCTCGAATTCACCTAAATCACTTAACGGCCAAACCACCAATGGCAACACCTCACCCACTCCCAGTCAATCGACAAATGCCACAAAAGACCTAGAGACTTATGCCCAGGCCCTGGAATATCTTAAGCCCTTGGAAGATTTTGCTTTATTTAAGGAGAATTTCCGCGCCATTGGTTTGATATCACAACTAGAGGTTATATTGAAAAAAGCCCACAACAAAACGGCGTTAACAAAAGGCCTAGCAGCCGAATGAACAAATTCAGCTAAACAAACAAAACAAACTTTGTAAATAGTATTTATTGTTGTTTTATTTAATTTAATTACACTCATTAACAAATAAAATTCCTCAAGTCTTAAAACTAAAAGAATATCTGTATTAATTTTTGGAACAATGTTTAATAACTTTTGTATTTAATACTTGCAGTTTTGGATTTTTATTTGTTAATTTTTTTAAGGTATTATTTTTTTTGTATCTGAATGACTGAATTTATTTTAAATACATTTTTTATTTTTTTACTTAAGTTATTAATTAAAATTGTATAAAAACACAAACAACTACAGAATAATCTCATTATATGTTAATTTATTTATTTTAATTAAATGTAATACATTTTAAAAAAGCTCTATTTATAAGCTAAAACATAAACTAAATTAGAAAAAAAAAAATAAAAAATATCAAAGTTTTCAAACAATACAAATATCGTATGATTTTATTTCCTTTAAATAATGCATATAAAAATTGTAGGTGAAACACTTTTTTGTGGAAATTCAAATTTTTTGAATTTTTATGAAAATTGTAAACTTTTATGAAAAATTTTTATGAAATTTTCGAATTTTATGAAAATTTAAAAAATTTATGAAAATTTCGAAAACAGGCGACACTGTCGAATACAATCGACTCTATTCTAGTCGTAATCAGTTGAATACAGTCTCGAATATATTCTAGTCGAATACAGTATCGACTATATTCTAGTCGAATACAGCCTCGACTATATTCTAGTCGAATACAATCGACTCTATTCTAGTCGTAATCAGTCGAATACAGTCTCGAATATATTCTAGTCGAATACAGTATCGACTATATTCTAGTCGAATTCAGCCTCGACTATATTCCAGTCGAATACAGTCTCGACTATATTCTAGTCGAATACAGTCTCGACTATATTCTAGTCGAATACAGTCTCGACTATATTCTAGTCGAATACAGTCTCGACTATATCCTAGTCGAATACAGTCTCGACTATATCCTAGTCGAATACAGTCTCGACTATATTCTAGTCGAATACAGTCTCTACTATATTCTAGCCGAATACAGTCTCGACTATATTCAAGTCGAATACAGTCTCGACTATATTCTAGTCGAATACAGTCTCGACTATATTCTAGTCGAATACAGTCTCGACTATATTCTAGTCGAATACAGTCTCGACTATATTCTAGTCGAATACAGTCTCGTTTATATTCTAGTCGAATACAGTCTCGACTATATTCTAGTCGAATACAGTCTCGACTATATTCTAGTCGAATACAGTCTCGACTATATTCTAGTCGAATACAGTCTCGACTATATTCTAGTCGAATACAGTCTCGACTATATTCTAGTCGAATACAGTCTCGACTATATTCTAGTCGAATACAGTCTCGACTATATTCTAGTCGAATACAGTCTCGACTATATTCTAGTCGAATCCTAGTCGAATACAGTCTCGACTATATTCTAGTCGAATACAGTCTCGACTATATTCTAGTCGAATACAGTCTCGACTATATTCTAGTCGAATACAGTCTCGACTATATTCTAGTCGAATACAGTCTCGACTATATTCTAGTCGAATACAGTCTCGACTATATTCTAGTCGAATACAGTCTCGACTATATTCTAGTCGAATACAGTCTCGACTATATTCTAGTCGAATACAGTCTCGACTATATTCTAGTCGAATACAGTCTCGACTATATTCTAGTCGAATACAGTCTCGACTATATTCTAGTCGAATACAGTCTCGACTATATTCTAGTCGAATACAGTCTCGACTATATTCTAGTCGAATACAGTCTCGACTATATTCTAGTCGAATACAGTCTCGACTATATTCTAGTCGAATACAGTCTCGAATATATTCTAGTCGAATACAGTCTCGACTATATTCTAGTCGAATACAGTCTCGACTATATTCTAGTCGAATACAGTCTCGACTATATTCTAGTCGAATACAGTCTCGACTATATTCTAGTCGAATACAGTCTCGACTATATTCTAGTCGAATCCTAGTCGAATACAGTCTCGACTATATTCCAGTCGAATACAGTCTCGACTATATTCTAGTCGAATACAGTCTCGGCTATATTCTAGTCGAATACAGTCTCGGCTATATTCTAGTCGAATACAGTCTCGACTATATTCTAGTCGAATACAGTCTCGGTTATATTCTAGTCGAATACAGTCTCGACTATATTCTAGTCGAATACAGTCTCGACTATATTCTAGTCGAATACAGTCTCGACTATATTCTAGTCGAATACAGTCTCGACTATATTCTAGTCGAATACAGTCTCGACTATATCCTAGTCGAATACAGTCTCGACTATATCCTAGTCGAATACAGTCTCGACTATATCCTAGTCGAATACAGTCTCGACTATATCCTAGTCGAATACAGTCTCGACTATATCCTAGTCGAATACAGTCTCGACTATATCCTAGTCGAATACAGTCTCGACTATATTCATGTCGAATACAGTCTCGACTATATTCTAGCCGAATACAGTCTCGACTATACTCTAGTTGATTACAGTCTCGACTCTATTCTAGTCGAATAGTCTCAACTCTACTCTAGTCGAATAGTCCGACTCTCTTCTAGTCGAATAGTCCGACTCTATTCTAGTCGAATACAGTCTCGACTCTATTCTAGTCGAATATTCTCGACTCTATACTAGTCGAATACAGTCGACTCTATACTAGTTGATTACAGTCGACTCTATACTAGTTGATTACAGTCGATTCTATACTAGTTGATTACAGTCGACTCTATTCTAGTCGAATATGTATAGCCAACTCTATTCTAGTCGAATATAGTCGACTCTATTCTAGTCGAATATAGTCGACTCTATTCTAGTCGAATATAGTCGACTCTATTCTAGTCGAATATAGTCGACTCTATTCTAGTCGAATATAGTCGACTCTATTCTAGTCGAATATAGTCGATTCTATTCTAGTCGAATATATTCGACTCTATTCTAGTCGAATATAGTCGACTCTATTCTAGTCGAATATAGTCGACTCTATTCTAGTCGAATGTAGTCGACTCTATTCTAGTCGAATATAGTCGACTCTATTCTAGTCGAATATAGTCGACTCTATTCTAGTCGAATATAGTCGACTCTATTCTAGTCGAATATAGTCGACTCTATTCTAGTCGAATATAGTCGACTCTATTCTAGTCGAATATAGTCGACTCTATTCTAGTCGAATATAGTCGACTCTATTCTAGTCGAATATAGTCGACTCTATTCTAGTCGAATATAGTCGACTCTATTCTAGTCGAATATAGTCGACTCTATTCTAGTCGAATATAGTCGACTCTATTCTAGTCGAATATAGTCGACTCTATTCTAGTCGAATATAGTCGACTCTATTCTAGTCGAATATAGTCGACTCTATTCTAGTCGAATATAGTCGACTCTATTCTAGTCGAATATAGTCGACTAGAAGAATATAGTCGACTCTATTTTCAGTGAAAACTTTCAAGCTGATTAGAGGTAACTTCTGTAAATGTTTACGTAAATAAAATGTTTCTTTTTAAAAATTTGTTTTATTTTTTATTTAATGCAAATTTAATTTACGGCATAAAAATACATATACATAATAAAATTCTTATAAATTAGTTTAACTTATTACATAATTTAAAAATACATAAAAATAAGTATTGGCCAATTGAGTCTCGGTAATATTAGTTTGTTAAACTTTCTATTGCTAAATTAAAATATCTAAAATCTATTAAAAACCACAACACTTTCCCTGTTCCATTAACTCTTCAGATTCTGAAACAGCTTGCAAAAGTGACATTTTCACTTTGCGCTGCTGTATTTTATTTAGTTTTCTAGTCTCTTCAAACATTTTTTGAAAGAAGTCTTTTAATTCTGAATTATCGGTTGAGGTATAAGTACTTTCAGCTGTTAGACTGCATAAACATTTGACTCTCAATTCGGGCATTAAAGGAGGAGCTTTTGTTTCCTTTGTTATGGGCAACAAATTTTCAACTTTTACAGGAGTTATTAAAGGAGGGGTAGATAAAATGTCTTGCTTAATTTCGGTTTGTGTGTTTGCAGTTGTGGTGATTTGCTCGATATGGGGTAATGTTATGGGACTTAATCTTTGTTCTACAATGGGTATAGACTCCTGTGGTTTTGAAATATTAACGGGAATTGTGGAGGATGATTCCTTTTCTTTACTTTGATTCAATTGTTTATGTTTTATTAAATGATTAATAATTTTTTTATTGCCCGCATTTAAAGAACGGCAATTATTTAAAATTTTTGTGGATTTCGTAGCATCCGATGGAGTTTTGTTTAATTGTTTTGTTGTCGATCCTTCTATATTGTAGCGCGTTCTTTTGTCTATAGGATTAACAGGTAATACCACTTTATGACGTTTTCTAAATTGAGCATTTAATAAAACTGGAGGTGCTGATGGGGATGATGTCAATACGGATGCTTTAGCGGTTGGTGTTGTTTTAATCGTTTCAGTCGTGTGAGTTGGCGCACAGGAATTTAAAGTTGGATTAACTGTCGTTGTATTAACTGCCACTTGTTTCGTTTGTGTTAAAGTTAAGGCTGATATTTGAGGATTTATTTGAACTGGAGTTGATTCAAATAATTGTTGCTCATTTTGTAAAGTATGTGTCGGTAATAAGGGAAGAGTTGTGGTTGGCGGTGTTTCCAATTCATAGATTATAAAACTATCTCCTGGTATTGTTGTAGGATTTTGTAATTGATTTTCTGTTTTAATTGTTACAGTTTCTTCTATTAATGTTTCCTGTGTTAGAGGTTCATTTTTGATTGTTATTGATGGTAGTAAAGGTTCATCTGTTATCGGTTCATTTTTAACTGGTATATTTAGATTTGGATTTAAAGAACTAGTCACATGGGTGAGCAGTTCATCTTCAGTATTAAGCACTTCCTGTTTGATAAAAGTATCATAATTTAGATTCATTTCTGACGGTAGCTAAAAAGAGATAGAAAAAAACATTAAAACAATTAGCTATTTCTGATTCGATTTTAAGAGAATGTCAATTTGTTTTAAAATTATTTTATAAATTCGGACTGCAATCGAATAGAATAGTGTGGGTCGGTCTGTATTCGACAAGAATAGAGTTGGACTTAATTGTTTAAAATAGAGCCTGCTTATATTCGACTAGATAGTGTCGGACTGTACTTGACTACAATAGAATCGATGCTGGATTCGACTAGAATAGAAAAGGACTATATTTGACTAAAATACAGTCGGACTATATTCGAATAGAATATAGTCGAACTATAGTCGACTAAAATAGAGTCGGACTATATTTGACTAAAATAGAGTCGGACTATAGGTATTCGAATAGAATATAGTCGAACTATAGTCGACTAGAATAGAGTCGGACTATATTCGAACAGAATAGAGTCGGACTATATTCGAACAGAATAGAGTCGCATTATAGGTATTCAACTAGAATAGAGCCGGGCGTATTCGACTATAATATTAAAACTCTCAATAAAAGTTAACATTTTTTCAAATATTGTAGTTTTCATCAAAAATTCATATTTACATCAAAAATTTACATTTTTTTTATAAAAATTTAAATTTTCATTTGTCATCTATTCCTGCTATTAACAAATGAATTAAATTTTAATATCAAAATTCCTTTTTTAACCCACCGTAGTAATAAAGGGGAGAGATACTATATTAGTATAAAAACTGATAAAAAATTTTAAGAGAAAATCTTAATGCGCTTAAAAAAACATAAGTATTTATCTACTTGCATTTAATTAAAGAATCCTTAAATTTTTTTATTTAATTAAAATTATTTATTAATATAAAAACTATAGTACCTTAGTCACAATAAATTTAAGAGCAGTGAAACTAAAAAAAATCTATAAATAACAACAAACTCTATAAAAAGTATTCATTTCTAAAAGTTTACTATTAATTCAGCAAGAAAAATTCATTTAGTAAAAAGCTACAAAAAGCTTAAAGTTTACATTAACTCTCCGTAACAAAAGAAAAAAAAAGCTTTAAGCTTGTGCTAACAAAAGAAAGATGGTAAAGAAAGGTAAGGAAGAGAAAATAACAACAAACATCAAGAAAAGAAAACAAAATAAAGGGAATAGCTACAGTTTTATATAAAAATAAAGAGGAAAACTAAGACAGTGGGGAATTTTAAGAGAAAATGGTAAGAAATCTTTGCATTTAAAACTAATACTTCTTCTTTATTTTTGAAATATATAAACATTTTATCAGTTTTGAACGATTTATTGACAATAAAATGATTTTTAAGGTGTATGTGTGCATTACAAAAACCATTAGAAAATATTTATTTTTTAAATTTTATTAAAATTGGAATAACTACCTAACTATTCTTTAAAAATAAATAATTTTCAAATTACCCATTCAATTATATAACAAATTTACTTTAAATATAGTTTACGTTTCTAACAGACATTTACGTACTTCTGGCCCACAGTAGAACACTGAAAAAAGCAGTGAGCGACGATACTATATTTACAGTAATAATGAAATTTTAAACACTTACCAAATGTTTGCTATGCATAGGTATAAACAACTTTTTTTAGCTCAAATTTAACAAATATTTATGATTTATATTTACTTTTTTCCACGGCTTTAAATACAAATTTATTATAACAAAACGCAAAAAACCCTCTTTCACACATGAAAACAACAAGTAAACTAAAACCTAACCTAAAAAAGAAACACACACACACACATTTGTTGTATATTGATTAACAAAAAGTGTTCATTCTAAAAGTTTTACCTTCATTCAGCAAATATACATTTTTAATTTAAAAGCTATAAAAAGCTTAAAGCTTATATTGTTAGGTCAAACAAAAAAATGAAGCTTTAAAGCTTTAGCTAATGTACAATAAAAACATTGCCAAGAAATATAAACAAAAACCACACAACAACAATAAAGCAGCACATGAAAAATAAAAACAAAACCATGTGTAAAAGTGCTAAGAAAAACAAACTATATTTCCCATCTGTTTATGTTTACATTTGTTGAAAGTCATTTCAAATGTCATCGTTATTAGACTGCATTAACCCCTAAAAACAACAACAAAAGTTTTTAATTTTGATTTTTTTTGTATCTTTTGTTTCCAACTACGAATGTGAATAGGAGAGCGAGTGCATAAAAGCCGCCTATAAGATTTGCTAGACATGCGCATCATTTGCCGTTTTTCATGGATTCTGGGCACACGTCATTACTCAAGTTTTTACTTGAATTTTGTTTTGTATTTTCTCATTTTTGTGTGGAAATTCTAAATTTAAATGAGTTTAATATAAACGTGTAAATGTTATCTGTGGTGTAAATAATGGAAGATGATATAAAGCAATAGATAGTGGTCAGTATACATTTACACACATAGATACATACATATATGTATGTACATTGTATGTAAATTGTAACTAAATTTAAAACAACGCGATTTTTGTGATTGATGACAACAGAAAGTGCATATTAAAGGAGGACAATAAATAAAACAAAATTTTGAATGTATATACGAGAGTGTACACCCTACACTACTGTGTTATAAAGGGTAATATGTATATATTTGCGGCGTTGTTATCCATGTACTTGTTCCTACGGACATCTGTTACTTATTTTGAAAAAGCAATAGTGCAGCAAATAATCCAAAAGATATTGGAAAAGACAATATGCCATTACTGTAAAAGTAAAGGCACTTTTATCCATTTATGTAGTCTCAAAAAAACCAATGGAATTGCATAAGCCCTCTATGTTATAAACTAATCATCTTGTGAATACACACATCAGCTAAGTCGTACATAATAGACTGCCAAAAGCAACAGTTCTATTTCCTAACAAAGCAGGATATAGGCAGAAAAAATCTATGGCCACATTCTCCTTATGACTCCTTCTCAAGATGTCGTTAAAAGTAAGGTAAAATCGCATAACTGGCGTAATTATTCAAAAATGTAGTCAATAATATGTTCACCCGTATAAAAACAGAACCCATATTAACTATATTTTAGTACAGTTCCAGTTTTGGATAGTTCAGTCCTAGTTTAATACTAGATCAAGAACTGATTTAGTTCTAATTCAGATATAATACAGTTCTAATTCAAAAAGTTCAAGTCAATATCTATTTCGGCTCTAGTTCTAGTTCAATTCTAATTCAGATCTACATAATTCAGTTCTAGTTTAAGTTCAGCTTTAATTCAGTTTGATTCTAGTTTAATTCTAGTTCGGTTCTATTTCAGTTCTAATTCACTTCCAGTTCAGTTTTAACTAAATTCTAGTTCATGCTTAATTCTATTCTATATTCAATACTAGTTAGAACTGAACCTAGTTCATTTCTAGTTCAGTTAAAGATCAATTCTAGTTCATTTCTAGTTGCGTTCTAGTTCAGTTCAAGTTTAGTTCTAGTTCAGTTCTATTTCAGTTCTAGTTCAGTTCTAGTTCAGTTCTATTTCAGTTCTAGTTCAGTTCTAGTTCAGTTCTAGTTCAGTTCTAGTTCAGTTCTAGTTCAGTTCTAGTTCTAGTTCAGTTCTAGTTCAGTTCTAGTTCAGTTCTAGTTCAGTTCTAGTTCAATTCTAGTTCAGTTCTATTTCAGTTCTATTTCAGTTCTATTTCAGTTCTAGTTCAGTTCTAGTTCAGTTCTAGTTCAGTTCTACTTCAGTTCTAGTTCAGTTCTAGTTCAGTTCTATTTCAGTTCTAGTTCAGTTCTAGTTCAGTTCTATTTCAGTTCTATTTCAGTTCTGGTTCAGTTCTAGTTCTAGTTCAGTTCTAGTTCAGTTCTAGTTCAGTTCTAGTTCAGTTCTAGTTCAGTTCTAGTTCTAGTTCAGTTCTAGTTCTAGTTCAGTTCTAGTTCAGTTCTAGTTCAGTTCTAGTTCAGTTCTAGTTCAGTTCTAGTTCAGTTCTAGTTCAGTTCTAGTTCAGTTCTAGTTCAGTTCTAGTTCAGTTCTAGTTCAGTTCTAGTTCAGTTCTAGTTCAGTTCTAGTTCAGTTCTAGTTCAGTTCTAGTTCAGTTCTAGTTCAGTTCTAGTTCAGTTCAGTTCTAGATCAGTTCTAGTTAAGTCCTAGTTCAGTTTTCGTTCAGTTCTGGTTTAGTTCTGGTTCAGCTCTGGTTCAGTTCTGGTTCGGTTCTAGTTCAGTTCTAGGTCGATTCTAGTTCTGTTCTAGTTCAGTTCTAGTTCAGTTCTAGTTCAGTTCTAGTTCAGTTCTAGATCAGTTCTAGTTAAGTCCTAGTTCAGTTTTGGTTCAGTTCTGGTTTAGTTCTGGTTCAGTTCTGGTTCAGTTCTGGTTCAGTTCTGGTTCGGTTCTAGTTCAGTTCTAGGTCAATTCTAATTCGGTTCTAGTTTAGTCCTAGTTTAGTTTTGGTACAGTTCTGGTTTAGTTCTGGTTTAGTTCCGGTTTAGTTCTGGTTCTGTTCTAGTTCGGTTCTATTTCAGTTTTAGATCAGTTCTGGTTCAGTTCTAGTTCAATTCTAGTTCAGTTCTAATTCAGTTCTAGTTCGGTTTTAGTTCAGTTCCAGTTCAATTCTTGTTCAGTGCTAGTTTGGTTCTAGTTCAGTTTTAGTATAGTTCTATGTTAGTACTAATTCCGTTCTAAAATATTTAATTAGATTTATAAGTTAATTACAGAATCTAATAAGTTAAAATTTAGGAACATTAGCAACTAGGCCATCGACTTTTTGATGAATATTATTTTATAGTTCAATTCCATTATAAACTTTGTATTTTTGTATTTTCTGTATCCAATGAGTTGAATATGCGCAAGAAATAAACAAAAGGGCTAAGTTATGAAAAGAAAATATAAAATAAAAATATTTTTTATTTGTTTCTATGAACAAGTGCACAAATAATATGAAAAAATTAAACAGAATATATAAATAACTGTATAAAATGCATTTTACAAATAATTAATCACTCATTGCAATTACAGAGAGTGTGAGACAACTGAAAAAAGAGAGTTTATAAATATAGAAAAATATTGTGAACAAGAAAAGTAAAATTAATAATTGCTTACAAGCAACCCCCTCTCCTGTAAGCCAAGTGGTGGCATTATAATAAATATAAAAATCAAATACGATATCTACAAACAAACGTACATATTTACAAATGAAAACGAATGCTTATCAGTAGCTAGAAATAACGTACTGACAAACTGTCAGGCAGGCTGGCTGGCTGCTGAAATAATAAAAAAAAGCACTATATAGCACGTATGTATAAACCCCCAACCGACCTCGTAATGAATGTATGAAAATAAGTATATTTAGGAAAACAAAAGAGCTGATACAACACCCTGGCACCGGCGCATTATCACATCTATGACAATGATAAAAGAGCGAAAAGAGAGAGCGAGCACATACATGAGTATTGGGAAAAATATTTATATTGATTTGGAGCTAAAATTTCATATTATGAAAACTCTCTCTGACAAGCTAATGTACTCTCCGCTTAGCGGTAAAAAACGAAAGAACATCGCCATTAATTGAGCACCAACCAAACAACCACATCATCATCATCATCATAGTATGACGGAACGATACACGGGTTGTTTCCTCTTTTGACTAAACGCAAAGTTCTAGTTGTATATTAAACGTTGTGGTGTTATAAACGTGTGTGGTGCTGGGAAGTGATTAACAGTGAAATATTTAAACAACTACAAAGAGTGTACAATTGTTGTGTGCTCTGTACCTACTCTACTCTACGTGCTGGTGGAAAAAGCCCTCGGTTTTGCTGTTCTGTTTTTATATATTTATACAACAACAGAAATACAACACAGGCGCAAAGTAGGGAGGTGGATAAGTAAACTAATGAAAACGAAATAAGAAAAAATCCACAATACAAGTGAAAATTAATGAACATACTCCCGTACATAAGAACATTCACAACTGACTAAATGAAATAAAAAAAAATGTAAAAACGTCATTATTTAAAACCAAAAATAGAAGTATTTAAATAAACTCCACGCTCCACGAGTTGCAGACATTAACTAATTCTTAACTTTTTTGTTAAATTTTAAAAATTTTCTGTTTAATCAGCATAAATCTACCTATTTAATCGCATAAATATAAGAAAAAAAAACAAACTTAATTTTTTTGTGCAAAATTTGCATAAATTAAATTGCAATTTTTATTCCAACAACAACACTATGAAACCCGCAACGAGAACAACAACAACAAATAATAATAATAATAATAACAACAATAATACTGCCAAAGATGTTACTGTTACAACCATTAATGACCACAATAAGGTGAGACTTGATTATAACCATAACACACCCACCCACTTCCCCCTCTTTTTCTGCGTATTTTATTTTTGTTTTTGAGGTATTTTCTTTTGAATTTTTGTCATTTGTATTAATGTGTGTCCAAAGTAAATTTGTTTTATTTTTCATTTTTCTGTATGTAAATCAGACAATGAAACTGCGCCGAAGCAGAAACTATAATTCGTTTTATATTAAGTGCTACATGTGTAAGAAACATTTCAATACATGTGACGATAATATTTTGTTGGAGACACATTGTTATTTTAGTGCACCTTATCAAGTATTTGTTAAGATAGTAGTTGACACCCAGCCCATTTTATTCTCTATAGCTTTAAGTATTTCAAAACTCCTAGAAAATATTTTTAATTTACTTTATATTATTTTATGAGTCAATTTTATGGAATTTTTAATTACTTAGTTGAGCTCTAGTACAATTTCATGTTATTTCTATTTCAATTTTCGTTAAGTTCTAGTAAGGTTCAAGTTTAGTTCTACTTAAGTTTTAGTTCAGTTCTAGTTCAGTTCTTGATCAGTTCTAGTTCAGTTCTAGTTCAGTTCTAGTTCAGTTCTAGTTCAGTTCTAGTTCAGTTCTAGTTCAGTTCTAGTTCAGTTCTAGTTCAGTTCTAGTTCAGTTCTAGTTCAGTTCTAGTTCAGTTCTAGTTCAGTTCTAGTTCAGTTCTAGTTCAGTTCTAGTTCAGTTCTAGTTCAGTTCTAGTTCAGTTCTAGTTCAGTTCTAGTTCAGTTCTAGTTCAGTTCTAGTTCAGTTCTAGTTCTAGTTCAGTTCTAGTTCAGTTCTAGTTCAGTTCTAGTTCAGTTCTAGTTCAGTTCTAGTTCAGTTCTAGTTCAGTTCTAGTTCAGTTCTAGTTCAGTTCTAGTTCAGTTCTAGTTCAGTTCTAGTTCAGTTCTAGTTCAGTTCTAGTTCAGTTCTAGTTCAGTTCTAGTTCAGTTCTAGTTCAGTTCTAGTTCAGTTCTTGTTCAGTTCTAGTTCAGTTTCTAGTTCAGTTCTAGTTTAGTTCTAGTTTAGTTCTAGTTTAGTTCTACTTCAGTTCTAGTTCAGTTCTAGTTCAGTTCTAGTTTAGTTCTAGTTATTCTAGTTCAGTAGTTCAGTTCTAGTTCAGTTCTAGTTCAGTTCTAGTTCAGTTCTAGTTCAGTTCTAGTTCAGTTCTAGTTCAGTTTCTAGTTCAGTTCTAGTTCAGTTCTAGTTCAGTTCTAGTTCAGTTCTAGTTCAGTTCTAGTTCAGTTCTAGTTCAGTTCTAGTTCAGTTCTAGTTCAGTTCTAGTTCAGTTCTAGTTTCAGTTCAGTTCTAGTTCAGTCTAGTTCAGTTCTAGTTCAGTTCTAGTTCAGTTCTAGTTCAGTTCTAGTTCAGTTCTAGTTCAGTTCTAGTTCAGTTCTAGTTCAGTTCTAGTTCAGTTCAGTTCTAGTTCAGTTCTAGTTCAGTTCTAGTTCAGTTCTAGTTCAATTCTATTTTTATTAATTTCCTACACTTTTTCTTTTGCTTGCAGATTCCTCGAGTGGAAAAGGTCGTCTTTGACAACCGCATCAAACGTAAAAATGTCTTGGCACTAAATGAAAAAGTTGCTGCCATACGTGAATATGAAAAACGGCCGGTTTACAAACGTATAGGACGGATGTTTCAATGCAGTCCCGATCAAATAAAACGTATAGTTCAGCAAAAAGATGCCATATTAAATGCCTGGGAACAGAGAACACGTAAGTGTCGAGATGCCAAGACATTGGAAATGAAAGTGGTGAAGGTGTCAATGTTGGGAAAGGCCGTCTACGAATGGATACGACGTATGATGTATTACAAGGATATTTTAATAACAGATGGCCTTATACAAAAGATAGCGCTACAGTTTAAAAGTGCCATGGGATTGCAGAATTTCTTTCCTCATCCGGATTGGTGTAATAAATTTCGTTCCACATATAATATTGCCACATGCGACAGTAAGTTATTAAATATCGGCTATACACAGGGACATTCGGTGCAAATAAAGGATGTCATGAAAGATGTTTTATCCGAATGTTCACCCGATCACGAGGATGGCGCTGACGGTGATGGCGACGATGAAGTGGAATGTATTGATGATAGAGACGAAGAGGAAAATGGTAACTGTGAAAATGATTGTATCAGTATACATAGTGATGAAGGAGAGGTGAGAGTGAAAACTAAGCTAAGAAAGAAAATAACAGATAAAAATGAACGTAAACCAAACAATGAAGTCGTCAGCTCCAAGCCAGTACAAATAATGCCTCATGCTCAATTGCAGGGCTTAAGACAGTTGGTGGCACTACCCATACCAGCAAATGGTATGCCAGGCCTGTCTCAAAAAGTTTTAGTAGCTACTCCCATTGTAGCACCAGGACAACGACAGGGTTCAGCACCCATGACTATGACTATTATACCATTGGCTTCTTTAGCCCAACCATCAAATGCGGTAAATACCTCTAATACTATGGGTGCAGTAGCAGCCGGTTCCTCCATCTCCCCTAATAGCAACAATAACAGTGGCAAAGATCAGCCAGTGGTGGTGCCGCCTCCCATGCTAGAAATTAAAAAGGAAATCAAAGAAGAACCTAAAGATGATGATGATATTGTAGAAAAACGAGAAGAGGAAGTTATAAAAATTAAGAAGGAATATCTAACCGATGATGAAGAAACTACAGAAGATACTACAGCAAAACAAACGCAAATACCAACTATACAAACCAACACACCCACACATATTGTAGCTATACCTTTGGCCAATAAGGATATGTTGGAAGAATCTACCAACGATTCCCTAGATGATCTAACGTTATCTTCTTTAAGAAAACGCATTAAAACCGAAGAACCTAATGCCGAACCGAATTCAAATTCAGAAATAAATTCTTCTCCTCCACCCTTGACTTCAATACAAGCTGTAACTACAGTTACAAGAACTCAAGTTGAAATGCCACCTATGCCTCCTTTAACTAAAGCTCCTATCCAAAGAAATAACTCACCACCAACAACATCATCACTAAAACCACATACAACTCCTGCACTTAACTCATCACCACCACAAGCACCTTCCAACCGTTCTAGTCATAAACGTCTTAGATCAGACGAGGACCAACCAGCATTACCACCCATACGTTCATATGCCGAAGGTAGAAAATACTTAAAACTTTTGGAAGATTTTGCTTTAGAACGTGAAAATTTCCGTTTAATCGGTTTAATAACGAGAGCCGATGAAGTTTTGAGAGAATTAGATCGTAAGGAGAACAATGAAGACGAAGATGTTGATATAGATTAATGCTGGTTATTATTACACTTATTATTACTTTTACTTTTTATACCAAAAATTAAATACCAAAGTGTGTTTATTGTTATCATAGTTATTTAAGTTAGTGATTGAAATAAAATGAATTTATCTGTAAATATAAAAACTGAATATAAATTGAATTAAAATTTTCTAAGAAAATTATAATCTATAAAAACTTTACTCAACAGATTTGCAATGTTTTACAAAATATTTCAATATATTATTTTTTGCTGAATTTCTAAGAAATTTTGTATTATAACTGAAAAAAGCAATGAATGCTCCAATAAAAAACTAAAACTTTATAAAACAAATTTGTTTTTAATTATAAAAGATTTCAATTCAAATAAGAAAATGCAAAACGTTTTAATACGATTGAAAATTGTAAGACAACAGTGTATTTAAGAAATTTATTTGTTTTTAAGTTATTCGCTATGGAATTACATAAAAAATACCCACTAAAGCTAAAGTGGAATGGCATTAAACAGATTACTGTTGATAAAAATAAAGCCACATGTTTTTCCTACATATGTATGTAAATATAGAACATATCGTATCTGAAGTAATTAGTGCGCAGGTCTACAACCAGAATAAACAAGAAAAATACCCATTAAAACGACATTTATGTTTTATTTAAAATAAACAAAAATCACTAAAAAATGCTGAAGAGAAATAACATTTAGTTGTTTGCGTTTTGATAGCAATTGAACGACGGACGGATGAAGGGGCTGACTTTAATAAACTTAGGAATAATGAGACTATTTTAAAGTTGATAATAATTCGAAATATTTACTTAATGATTAGAATGAAAAGATGCACTAAATTAGTCTCGGCACAACATATTTAATAGTAATGTTATTATTGCAACTTGCCAGATATTTGTGGGATGAAATATAATAATGGTGTGAATAGAAGTTCAGGGATGAGTTGAACTATTAGTATACAGTTGTTGGTAGAATGTTTGATGCGATACTTTTCGTTCTAAATAATAAAATATTTGTATATAAATATAACGGTAAAATGTTCGATGCTAAAAGACTACATAGTTTTCTTCAATATTTAGATCGACTAAGTAATTACTTGAACTAGAAATTAAAACAGATTGGACTAGAACTAAACTTGATCTCAACTACAAAGAACTAGAACCAAACTAGAAATGAACAAGAACTAGAACTGAACTAAAACGGAAATGGAACTGAATTGGAACTGGAACTGAACTTGAAGTGAGCCTCTACTGAACTTGAATTGGACTAGAAATGAACTGAAACTGAACTAGAACGGAAGAAAGAATTAACTAAAACAGAAGAACAGAACTAACACTAAACTAGAATTGATCTAGAACTGAAGTAGGAATGAAATAAAACTGAACGAACTTAACAAGCACTGAAGAACAAAACTAAAACTGAACTAAAATTGATATAGAACTGAACTAATAAACTAGAACTGAACTAGGACTGAAGTTGGAGTAAACTAAAATAGAACTACAACTTAACAAGAACTGAAGAACAGAATTTAAACTGAAGTAGGAATGTACTGGAATTGATATAGAACTGAACTAGGACTGAAGTAGGAGTAAACTAAAATAGAACTACAACTTAACAAGAACTGAAGAACAGAATTTAAACTGAAGTAGGAATGAACTGGAATTGATATAGAACTGAACTACAACTGAAATAGAACTAAACTGGGACTGAACTAGAACTGAACTAAAACAGAACTAGAACTGAATTAGAACTGAACTAGAACTGAACCAGAACTGAACGAGAACTAAACGAGAACTGAACTAGAACTGAACTAGAACTGAACTGAACTAGAACTGAACTAGAACTAGAACTGAACTAGAACTGAACTAGAACTGAACTAGAAATGAACTAGAACTGAACTAGAACTGAACTAGAACTGAACTAGAACTGAACTAGAACTGAACTAAACTAAAAGTGAACTAAAATGATGTAGAACTAAAGGCTAGAACTAATACTCAACTAGAATTGATTTAGAATAGTCTAGTGAAATAAAGTTGTATTAAACTAAACAGGAACTAAACTAGAAATGTGCTAAAGTCGAATCAAACTAAAAATAAATGAACAATATGACCACAATAAAGAAAGGTATATTTCAAAATATAACTTACCAGAAATCTCTCCTACCGTCTTCTTTCTTGTACTTTATGCCCGCGAAATAAGATTTTTCAATTTTAAGAGTCAAATATCAATATTTTTTTTACATTTTATAAAATAGAACACACACAAAATAAATTACATACTTTAAAAGACGCGGCAACATAAAATGAAGTTGATGATAATAATGGTAATGATTATTGAAATTGTTTCCGTACCCCCAAAAACGACCACTAGGAATTCTATGAAGCCATTTTATAATTAACTACAGTATCGACTTTATGTAAGCCAGTGGAAAAGGAACGCAATTGTACGGCTTGGGCATTTTGTATAAATGCAGGACCAGTTTCATCCCAACTTTCGGGTACATCACAGGTCTGTAGCGTATGGATCATAACGTCAAAAGTGCAAATACAATCCAATAATGGCAAATAGGTAACAGTGGCCGATATTTGACGCATAACATCACGTATTTCATTCTGTATGCGTTTCAGTTCTTTGGAAGAGGTCAATTTACTGGCATCGCTGGTATCACCATCGCCCAGTTCGGCATTCATTTTGAAATCCCAACACTCAAGAACTTCTTTGGTATGGGCATTTGTTATGACCATGGAGATTTTGTTGATCATATTTTTGGCCAACCATTCTGGAAAAATTAGCAGTGTTATAGATTTTAGTTTGAGAGGATTTCATTACTTAAGTTACCTTCTGTTTGTTCAAGCACCTTTTGCAAAAACTCCTCTATTTTGGGATCTTTGGACATGAGTATTGTTAAACCATACTGTTGTGTACTTTCAAATGTTTCTGCCGGATAGATGCCTCTTTGAAAGAGTATGGAATTGATGCCGTATTTTAGGTATTCTGCTATAATTTGTGCCGAACCCTTTAAAGTGATGCAATTTTTGGTAGCTTGTGTGGTGGACATGTTTTGGAGCAATTTTTGTTTGAATATTTCTTGCTTTTAAGTTTTTAAAAGGTAATTTTTAAAATGAATACTATTAAACTAAAAAATCCGCGTTTATTATAACAAAACATAAACAGCAACGAATAACTGTGCAAAAAAAAAAATCGCAAACAAAAGCTGTTTACTCGTTCTTAGTGTTGTCAACTATGGCGGTTTTTTAATAAAATTTAGATTGAGTCTTTAGTATCACTCATTTTTATACCCTACACCACTATAGTGGGGAGGGTATTATACATTTGTGCTGATGTTTGTAACACACAAAAATATTGGTCCTACACGCACCTTTAAGTATACCGATCGACTCAGAATCACATTTTGAGTTGATTAAGACATGTCCGTCCGTCTGTCCGGCTGGCTGTCCATGTAAACCTTGTGCGCAAGGTACAGGCCGCAATTTTCAAGATAATTTGATGAAATTTGGACCAAGCATGTTTTTGGCACAAGGACGAAGCCTATTGAAAATGGATGAAATCGGTCCATTATTTCACCTAGCCCCATACAACCGTACCTCCCGATTTGGGCTTTTTATGCCATAATTACGTCAAATATACTATTATCTCTCTAAAAATTGGCACAAATAAGTTTTATATAAGTATAAATGACACTGCAGATTTTCATAATGATCGCCCCTTATTTGACTCTAGCCCCCATACAAACCCCCCTTCAAAAAATGTCTTAAACGTCTAAAATTTACTTGTAACCATTTGTATCGCAATGAAACTCAACATAATTAACTATTATTTAAAAATATATCCTTTTCCCAAATTTAATGAGGATCGGCCCATGTTTGACCTATACTCCTATATAAAGCCTCATTTAGAAATTTTGGTTTTTATCAATAAATTGCTTAAATACTTTGGAATTAAGGTAAAATTCAACATAAAAGTTTCTTTGTGAAAAATAAAAATTTTTTAAATATACTCATGGTGTAGGGTGTTATATGGTCGCTCATAACAGGGTTAAATATGACGCTGAAGTGAATCCGTTTCTGATCCTTTCGCAATTTTAGTTATTTACGAAAAACCAACAGAGCCCATTCATATATTAACATAGGTAATTTAAATCGATATTACAGATAATTTTATTAAAACAAGAGGATGACTACAAAAAAAATTGTTTTGTTGTTCATAATTTTCGTCTTTATTAGTAATAAACCAAAAATTAATCATTTACAACTGGTATTTATATAAAATATAAATACCAACATTTTTATTTTAGTTCTATATTTACAAAAAGAGAACTTTATATCAGAAAATAATTAAAATTGTCTATATTTTAACACTAATTAATTGTAATTATTCTCTAGCGTTTTTTTATGAGAAACTTAACATCACTGATAAATAGCAACGAATAACTGTGCAAAAATGACAATCGTTACTCGTTGGTTTTTCTTCTATCAAACTGTCAGAGTTGTATTTGGTATCGTTAATATACAGGGCGTTTCAAATAAATAAAAAAATGTAGTTGCAAATAAATAAAAAAGTACCAATAGAATATTGGAAATTTGCTGAGCTCAGCAAAAAATTTCCAATAACAGCTCAGCAACTTGCGCCACAAAGTATACAGAGGTGTCACTTTTGACATTTAAAAAAGTCTAAAATCAGCTTTTGTTTGATTTTGAAATTGTTTGGTGAGAAGAGGTATATAAAATACAGCTAAAAAAAATTATTGAATTCGTTTTGTGCGAAAGAGAGGGAAATAGTTTTTTGCTCGTGACGCCTCTGTATACCCTGTGCTTGCGCTGAGCTGGTACTGAGAGGCGGGGTATCTCAGCAAAATCGTCCGGTAAGAAATATATGTGTTTGTGTGTCAATGCTGGGCTCAGCAAAATTTGCTGGGCACACTCAGCTCAGCACGCCTACTTTAGGGTGGGCGGACCTCTAAAGTTCAAAATATTTATGGCTATATCTCGAAAAATATACATTTGTTTAGACCGATATATATCAAATTAAAGGTATTTCAAAGACCTTTCCAATGATATGTAACATGGTATACAAAAAAGGACCCATTATAGGTCAATTTTGGGAAACATAATATTTGACCCGACATTTTTGAGGTTTATCTAAAAAATCGGGAAAAAATGCCTTTATATGTAAGTATATAAATTAGATTGTTTAAAAGCCAAGATATTAAGCTTTTTATTAAGGTATAATATGTTTTTGTAAGTATTATAGTTCCTGAGATATTAATAATTTAATTATGATTTTGCTATTAAAAAAAACGTATGTATACTAATCTTTATTAAGCGAAGCCGGTGTTGAACATACCATAGAGGAGAAAATCCTTGCGCCCGGCAGTAGGCCGGCTATTTAGGAAATCCTTATTAAGCGAAGCCGGTGTTGGACATACCATAGAGGAGAAAATCCTTGCGCCCGGCCGTAGGCCGTCTATTTGCGTCCTCTTTCGGAAGGTCCGCATGACACAAACTACAAATGTTGGCCTCTCACGAGGAACCATTTTCTTCATCAGGGGAATCTGACAACTCTGATGATATGTAAATTAAATTATAAAATAAATGGTTTTTGAAATTAAATATCTGTTTCATTTGATTAGATACAGAAATGGTTTATAGCTTAAATAAAAGCTTAATTCATTGGCTATTAACATATAGAAATTTATATTAGAATTATATAGACATTTTTTCCGATTTCTTTTAGATGAAAAAAAAGTCGGGTCAAAATATATGTTTTCCGGAAAAAAACCCAAAGTCGGTCCTTATTTTAGTATCATGTTATATATCATTGGAAAGGTATTTTTAATGCCTTTAATTTGATGTAAACAAAATAGTTTTCGATATATACACAAAAATGTATTAAACTTTGGAGGCCCGCCCGCTCGAAAGTAGGCGTGGTCGACAAAAAAAATGATATCTTTTATCGTCTCAAAACGCTCTATATTGTTTTTTTTTTAAGAAATGTCACTAAAACCGACTTGTTCCGTGAAATAACTACTAGTTTTTGGAAGATCATCTTTATTATCATCTTTTACTATTATTTTTTAAATTCGTGGTAAGTGGTATATTTTATTATTAGAATTATAACTTGGCAATATGTAGGATTTTATAATTCCGTCAATTTGTTTATCGTTATACGGGAAGATAATCTGACGGAAAGGTCTTCGACACGATATCCGTTAACTAAAATACAATATATTTCTAAAATAGAAACGAGTTAGTTTCGGCATGTACTAGTCCAGAAAGTCTATGCGAAAGTGTGAAATATTTTGCTGAAAAATTGTTTAATAGTGAACGAAATATTGTGTATTTGGTGTTTGTGTAATATTGGAAAGCAGCTCCACACAATTTTCTTAAGTTATTTTCTATTCTTATAACAAATCTAAAATCGGGATACATATATTTTTGTTTTGCAAACAGCATTACTTTTTTTTCCAAAACTCTATTATAATCCACTTATTTTTTCGAGATATAATACATATACATGAATATCACATTTATTAAAAAAAAAATCTTAATTCGAAAATTTTAAGGAAATTTAGTTTTTTTTTGTCTTCTGTTGGAAGTCTTTATTATTCTAAACGTTTGCGTTTTTTAGCCTTTTCATAAACTTCGGACAATTGATTTAATAGATTTATGGCTTTAAAATCTTCTTCGAATATGGCAAACTCCTCCAGTGGACGCATCAGTCTTAATGCCTCCTCATAATTACTTACCGAAAACGGCAGGGGTTTAGATGTAGTTGATGTGGAGGATGAACTGGAAGAGGGACGTTTAGAAGGTGGTTTTTGAAATGTACGCTTGGAATTTTTGTCTATGCCTAGAAGACAACTTTCTAATATGGAAGGATTGTCATTAGGCTCTTCTTTTATATTTTCAGCATTTAAAAGTCCTTCCGAATCTTTGGCATTCTTAAGTTTATCTTCTAATTCTTTAACATCCGGCTTGACGTCTTCCTGGGATTCATCATGATAATCTTCATAGTCACCATAATTTATGGTTGGTCCCTCTTCATTTTCATTAATTGTATCATCATCGTCAACTCCTCCATCGCCATCTTCTTCACCCTCAAATCCATCTAAGGGATCATCATCATTATCGTCACCCTCATCACCAATTTCTATGGTATTACCGTCACCATCGGGTAACATTTGATTTCTAGAACTTGACGGCTGTGACGACAAAGCATTGTCCACCTCTTTGGCACAATAGGTTATGATATCTTTACAATTCAAAGATCTTTGAGGTTTTCGCGATATTATAATCTGATTAATATGATCCAAATTAATATTGAAAACCGATTTAAAATCCCTTATCCACGCTCGATTGGGAAAAAATTTCTCGATTTTTATGATATCTTTAAATTCCATGGCACGATCACGTATCACATCATCCGTTACGGTTTGCAGTTTATGAAAGTGGGCACGTTTTATGTACTCATACATGCAGTTTCCTAAAAAATTTATTTTTTTATGACGCACCACCTTTGGATCGTCCTTCATGACATCGATGATCTGGCAACTGGCATAGTATTTGAGAATATCTTTACGATTTGCAACAACATTTTTTATCTGTTCCCAACTGCATTTGAAGGCAGAGGCCACACGCTGATAGACGGGTATCTCATCGTACATGCGTATGGCCTGGACACGTTCTTCCAGGTTGAGGATTTTGCGTGGTCTATCTTTAAGCTTCCGACGTTCCAAAACATAACGACATGGCTGGAAGGAACAAAATACAAATAAACAATAGGTAGATAGAGAACTTAAATAAACAATTTGGACCCAAAATTTTTTGACAAACCAATTTTAACCAAGAAATCATTTTTTACTACAAAATCAAATTTCCACCAAAAGATTTTAATTAAAAAACATCTAAAAATCTAAAATTTACAAACATACATCTTGCAATTTTTCCAAAAATTGTATAAAACATATTGTATATACCCAGCCGCTACTGGATTGCGGACGCAGCTTAATATAACAAAATATAAAAAGAACCTTCGCTAAACTCAAACAATAAGCCTTCACTTCAAATATAACCCCATTTACTATAGTATATATTCGCACACACATCTGTGCTTCTAATATTTTAATCGATATAATGGCAATTGTCTCGTCCCCTTGAATCGTACACTAACTACATTTCATTTCTGTATAGCTTATTGAAAACAAAATATTATCATCATCTTACATACATACATACCTTTTTTCCCATTTTGATTTACTTTTTTCCACTCGTATGCCTTCTTTTCAGCAGTGTAACTTGTTCTAAAACGTAACTTCACACAATACCAGCAGCAGCTAGCCAGCCAGCCACCGAATATACACAAAATGTGTTTTTAACCCCTCCTCTTCTCGGCAAAAAGATAAAATAAAAATAAAACTTTCCCGAATCCACACTATGACGTGAACCAGCCAAGGATTGTGAAATACAACTAAAAGTATAAATTGCAAAAATTGTCTCACAAAGCAGCGTCCAAATACACACACTACACGAATCCATGAAAAAGAGGTTGCGAGAGAGAAAAATCCCCACAAATGTAAATGTTATTGAGAGAGCTAGTTATAGTATGTGTGTTTATCGACAAAGAGACAAAGAGCTATGGAACCGACCGGTCACAATATGTGTAAAACTTATAACAAGCTCTAGGCAAAGCTGCGTACATATGAAAGAATAGCCCGCCTGTTTGCCTGTCTAAAAGACGATGATGGCAAAGGCATGACGACTGACAACTGTTTGTGTTTATTAAAAGGGGAATAAAATAATAAGTGCTGATGAGTTCGTCGTATATTTGTACGTATGTACTAAGTATTTCGTAAATTTCTACCATTACACCACCTTTTATGAGAAATCAAACAAGAGAACCAGGCAGCCAGCCACATACTATATTTTATTTGAGATTTTACTGGCACAAAGAAATGCATACAGTTTGCCAAGTGAACACAACGGTATGGTTATACCGTACGCAGGTAG